TAATTTTAATAGAACCGCATGTCTTATTTAGTAATACAAGCTCAGAAACATTTATTACCTGTTGAAGTTTTTTTATATTGTGTATTGACTTGGTGCCATGATGGACATTGAAATGTTATTTTTCATTTTAAACAGCATAGATGATTACTTAATGGTAATACAATATTTGTGAACAACTGTGTAGTGGAAACGCAAACCGTGCCGAGCCGAACCGTGCCGTGCCGAGCCGTACCACGCAGTGGAAAAGCGCCAATAGACCCCATGTCACCCTAAAAATGATTTTCTAGATCCGCCCCTGGAGAGAGGGAGAGAGACCATTCATGCTTTCAATCTGTATGATAACAAACCGTTTCATTAGGGAATAGGCTCTTAACTCAAGCCATATAATGATTGTAAAGTGCTGAAATAAGTAGCATAAATCAACTGCTCATAAGGCTAGGGCATTTCCACTTCAAAAATGAGCATAAACAATCATACCAATCAAAAAAATAAATAAAAACAGTTTGATTAATTCATCCATGAATATCACCTCAAGCCATAATGACTTTAGGCTAGGTCTAAATGGGTTAAAACATATTGTGAACAGCCTGAATGATGGCACTTATGTGAACATTAATTTTAACGTCTGTCTTTATAACAATTTTTTTTTTTCATTCATTCATTCCTTCGGGATGAAGACAGGAGCGCAATCTGTTCACAATTAGTCCAGCTGCAGAGAACACACCAACTCCGTTTGCACAATATGTATGCGGAGCGTATTCTTTTCCGCGCCCATGTTAACGGATTTAGAGTGGATTTAATGGATATAGAGATTTTTTTTTTTTTTATAAATGCGTCACCACTGCATCAGCACGAAAACATGGGTAATTCTTTTTAGACAATCGCACAACCTATTAGATATTCTATAATTAAATCAACTAATCGAAAATCGTGACCCATCCCCAAGTACAACAACAACAATAATTAACAATATTAATTATTATTATAACACTACTACTAATAGTAACATTATAGAGAATAAAAATCACTCAATCACTAACCAAACGAATGCTCTGACTTTCTCTTTTCCACAGAAACAGGTGTGCCTTTTTTCTGCTGCTCTTGCAAAGCCTACAGGAAAAAAGAACCAAAATTTATCAAAGAAACAAAAAAACATCAACTGTCTCGCATTAAATACACACCTGAACTGCTTTGTCTTTTCCAGGTGTGGACAGCCTCTTCTTCGGTGTCTTAGGAGGTGGGTACTCAAACCTGACATTTTGACAAATTAAAACAGCAAATTATTCTAGCAAACAAGGATTCCCCCTGAAATATTTTTTTTTTTCAGAATTAAAATGGTAATAAACATCGGACTCACCTGAAAGAACGATCAATGATTGTGATGAGATCACCTTGCTTTAAACGTTCCGACTGATTAAGAACTTGTCCATTAATACGTGTGGGGTTCACAGAGCTCAAATTGGTCAAAATGAGCTTAAACGAGAGACAAGTCAGAATAAATTAATAGCATGTCATGTGTTCATTTGCACAAGAAACCGTTGTTCAGAAAAAAAATTTTTTACTTATAGTTTAACAACAATATAATTACCTCCTTGTTCTCATTCAGCTCAATTTTACAATGCTCTTTAGACACCTGTGGCAGCTGAATCCGAATATCACAGTCCAGCTTCCTAAAGAGGTAAGGAGAGTTCACATTAAAACTTTTTCTATGCCCATTTGCCTTTTTGGTGAATGTGAAATATTAAATTATGATATCAAATATATATGAATTTCTCACACTTATTGGGCATTTCTAGGTTCACATTAGATTCAACAGATTCAAATATTCTAGAAACAACATCTTACACTGGTGACTTTTTGCAGACAACATCCTGTTTTTGTTACTTTATGTCTAGAATAAACTGCAATAATTTTTCTAAATTAGCATGACAAACAATATCATGCACTACACACTCAAGTATACATTAACCACTGGCTGTTCAAAACTTTTTTTTAATTATACACAAAACATGCATATTTAATACATATTTTTATGTGCATGTATAAAATGCATCATTCACTCTTGTCCATTCTTATCAACACATCAACAGACAAAAGGTTTTGTTTAAACATTACTTTAGTTTGGCTGAACACATACTTGTTGAACAGATGTGTCTTGTCAAAATGAATTAAAAAAATTACGATTATGTGATAGGAGCAGCTTCACTGATTATTTTCCTGTAATATCTTTTTAAATAGTTTAATTTACATTAACAACCCCAATATTTTCATTATCCGTTTATCACAAATATGTATAGAAAATGTGAGAAATATCTTTGGCTGGTCAATTTTCTCATCCAGCCACCACTGGCAACTCAACTCAGACAAGCGGATATTTTGCTAAACAAAACTTCAATAAAAGACACACACAGGAGTTATACCCACTGATCTATAATAGATTATATAGATCAGTGGTTATTACCCAGTCTCTTGATCTGTACAATGAGCATGAATGCATGTCATTTAGAATAACGCATTCTGATTGGCTGGAGTGAAATTTGACGTCAATGAAAAGCCCGCCTGGCATCAAACGAGTAGAACAGCGCATGTCCCAAACATGTACAATTCTTTGTGTCAATTGCCATTTAGCAGATACTTGAACCAAATGTTTAGGTTTTTAAGCAAAAAGCACTTGCAGTGTTACCTACAGTGATATTGTGCATTTGTTGTAGCAGTAGGCTTATAAATGTTGCTTTTCGTGCGCCTCACCGTATACTTAGCAGTATTAAATACATTCATAGCCATGTAAGCCATTATTATAAAATGTGTTACTTACCTTCCGAACAGACAGGACGCTGTGAGGGGAAATTCAGTGCCATCTCCTCCATTTCTCTTGATCACCACTATCTTCCCAAGCAAAGGCATTTCAAAACCACTTACCTTGTTCAGCAAACACAAAAGACAAAAAAGAACAACCCCGTGGTGTGATTTTTTCATCGACGTAAATGAAACATTTTACTGTAAGGTTTCTTGGAAATCTAACTTTAATAATACAAAGAAAATGTCTGAATATTCTGTATTAATGCATAATTTCTTCATATAATTTACGTTCACATACACAATTGGAAACACGCACATCAGCACGTGGCAAAAGACCTTTAAAACACTCCATAACATGCAAAAAGCACAGGAATACATCCACATTTACTACTTTTAGTGACCGACCGGAATTGCCAACAATATTTGATAATAAAGCTACCAATTTGTTTTGTGTGTTAACTGTAACTACGCATCTATCGATAGCGTAGTGACGTTATGTCAAAAAAAATGTGAGCGGTTCCAAGGATATTAAAATGATCCTGTCTTTACCTGAGGTTGCGTAAATCAAAACGATAAAATATATTCCATCGATGTCAAACCCTGGCTTAATGATTAAAACCAGCTTAATCCAGCATTTAGGTTTATTGTCCCGGTCGCTCCTGCCGTTACTAGCTCAAACTGTGTCCATCAGCGCGTTTTTCCGTCTTGACTGACGGCATATATTCCTCCGCAAAAAAACAAAACAAAATAAAACAACTACCAGTTATTTACTCAAAAAATATATAATATCGCATAATGGATGGAACTAGCTAATTGGAGCCTTATTCAAAGGTTAATTTAGCACGTTATCCATGATAAAAATGAAGGACTACTTTCTTTGTCAATCCGCGGAGGAATATAAGACGGATAACGATTCATGTTTGAAAACTATTCAAAATTCCCCGCGAAGGCTTCTGATTGGCCAGTAGTAATACTTGCTACTTGTCATAGCCAATAGGATTAGGTGTTGACGTAACGCGACAGTAAAGGTGGCCAATTAAATCATGTTAAATGCACAATCGCTCTTTTAAACTAGACACAATCCGCCCCAGTTTGATAAGAAGGCGGAAGCAAGCATGGCTATATATATATGAAAAACTAGAGGAGTTTATGCGCACGACCCCTAATGTACTAGCCTTTATAAATTATGATTTAAGTGAAGTGAAAATTAAAATGATGGTCACTTAAAGTGTCCCATTGAAAATGCCTTATTGTAGTGTATGTTATAATACAATACTTGAGTTATTTTCCTGTAATTTCTTTAATTATTGTATAATTTACATTAACAAAAAATATTGTTGTGTACAAAGGGAGTAAAAGATATACAAATGTAGATATTTAAAAAAAAAAATCACCTGTACAGTGAGGAATATAAACATGGATAAATTAAGTTACATTAATTTAATATTATACAGAAAAGGCAAGCATCAGTATTAATCCTATGATAATTAGCAATATTATACCTAAACCTATATAGGGATAAGAGGTTATATGGTACTATACTAATTTTTTTTATCGAGTTAGGTACAATAGTTTGTAACTGACTTAGGTCCTATAGCAAGTAGCTCTCTGTAATGTAGTCAGATAATAAAATATTTACCTTTGATCTAATAAGCCACTTTCAGATGTGTAAACAGAAGAAAACTGAAAAAAACTTGATGTTCAACTTTTTTTACCTCATGTAACTGTCAGTAATAACATTAACTTTCCACTGAAATACAATACATACGTTTTCATCAAATAAAATGAGTATTTTTAAATATGTAAATAATACCTGGTAACTAAATCTGAAATGAATGAATACTGATAAAACTGTAATAAAGGACAATAAATAAATACTACTACAACCATCTATAAAAAATAACACTATGTTGCATATTATGCTGGCATTATTCTAAAATAAACTCTAAAATGGGTGATTAGAATCTCATACAACCCTAACAGGGTTTATTTTACGATAACAACCAACTGTCTGTACATTATCATAAATTATATTTGATCATACATTTATTATTTCTGTTTATTTTGTACTGTCAAGTGTAAAACTAGAGCCATCCTTGCCATGCCTGAAATTCCATATAATTTATTGTTTCTTAGCATTAATTAATGTGCAATGACATCTTGGTATGAATTTAAAGACAACAGGTCATATTTCTGGCTAAACCAGCATTATGATTTTATTGTTTGTTTGTAATCTTGCTCTCATTTGAAAAATAACCAGGAAAAATGATCACACTCACTTCTTCACTCCTTGATTATAGTGAATTCTGAAAGTTTTTTGACAGTCAACAGAAAACAGGTTAAAACTCACAGCAATAGCTATTGATGCTTAATATTCTTAGACATCAGATCTAACAATACTAGCAAATTAATTTTACAGACGTTCAATCAGGGATGCCATTTTTTAACAGTCACAACATGTTTATTAAAGAAACATCCAGTTGGAAACAAGAGAAAGAAATAATTGACAGATAATGCACATATTCCCATGAAGCAACCTGAACAGGTTGCAGACACTGTGCAACTATTCTTAATGAAAAATTAATCAGGAGAATATGTGTATGTAGCAGCTCAGTATATCACTGAATCAGCGTATGCCCTTCTCACATTCATTAGAAAACTGATCCAATATCAACATTAGTTCTCTTAAGTCAAAGGGACCCAAGGAAAACATAAGGCATTGAAAACGGCATGTAAACAGGGGCTGGGTGCAAAATAGGAACTATGTTCATGCTTTTTTTCCACACCAGCACTTTCATTCTTCCATCATAGCCCATGCTTCCTCTGCTTTCATGTAGTACTGATTGGCCAGTCTGCCCTTCATGGCCTCCATAGCTGCATCAGCCGCCTCAGTAAAAAGATCACCTACAAAATTTAAAAGATATCATAAATCACACATCACTATATTATATTATATATTATATTCTTAAGCTACTTAAGGATAGTGACCCCAATAGTGACCTGTGTGCATTGTTTCAACAAAACGACCATACACCTGTTGTTGTTGTTTTTTAAATTTAATATTCATTTAATCATAATAATTTAATTATTCAATTTAATTATACAATAATTTTTTGTACATTTTGTATACTAGTTATTTTACTAATTTTTCTTGCTTTTGCAATGCTTGCTTTTGTTGTTAAATCTTATGATTCAGTGGTTTCAAGGGATATTTGTCTTCACGAGTAAGAGATAAGAGAATTTCTATGTTGTGAAGCAGTGATTTTCCATAGCTTTTGCTTTGGTATATGAACACTTGTTGATTTGTGCTGGGCAGACAAAGTCTAGACGAAGCCTAAGAATTAAAACATATGTAACTAAAATTCAATAAAATGAAGATTCAATAAAATCAATAAGATTCAATAAAATTGTATTGTTGTAATAAATTCAAATGTTGAATCTGAGTTTCTGCAGAAGAACCACTGTGTTTTATAGCATGAGCAGCGGAGCATTAATGCACAGGCTTCCATAGGCCGAAGCCCAGGGGCCTACACTGGGGCAGGGCCTACTGGCTGCACGACAAATAATATTTTTTAAATAATATTTTTATATATGGGAGTTTACAGCACTGACAAATGCATTCTATGACTGAACTCACTCCTGTAAATTTTCAGGACTCACAAATGCATTTTCACCCTGTTGTATGAATGGACCCGGATTGCAAAACTAGTTTTCTGAAACGTCATAAAGTGCAAGAGAGCCACTTTTTGCGGAATGTGGGTTTAGTAACTTACAGACGTGGATATAATCTGTGCCATCTGAAGGTTTTAGATCAAGTTACTGTCATCTACTGAATGCAAAAACAATGAAGAGAAGTTTCTAAAGTTATGTCATTTGAATTCATTCATACATATGCACTACTTGAAATGTCTATGTATTGACTAATAGCCTAGTGATATTTTCATTTGTGGTAGAGGGGCCTACTGGTAATGCTGTAGCCCACAGGTCTCTGGTTATCTATAGGTCCCCTTGAGCATGTGATACACTCACCTGCTTTTTGGGGGTCTGCATTCAGGTTGTACCCTCCCTCCTGGTACATCTCAGCCAATCGTGCCAACAGAAGGTAGTGCGGCTCATCCTGCATCCCATCAAACTCTCCCCCCTCGTCATAGTCCGTCATCTTAAGGGCAGAGTCATACCAGTACACGGCGTGCTTCCAGTCCATAGCCCTGCATTTTCAAAGTCCAAAATAAAAGTTTCAGCCCTAAACACATCTTGGGCCAAAAAGACAAAAAATTGATCAATGCGTTTTTCACCTATCAGAAGGGAGGTTCAAACCCGTGTCCAATGCTCGTGCTACTAGAATCATACTCGGCCGGTCTCCTGCCTCAGCGGCCTGCAGCAGAAAGCGGAAACCCTTCTTGCTGTTTTCCACAGATGCCTGATATAAAACAACAAGAGACATGACAGGGGAAGCATAAGCAGAGAAATAAAACAATGCGTCACCAACCACAAGATAATTAGGAAAAGAAAGCACCTCTAATTCGATCTCTGGTAGAATGTGATGTGGCAGCTGAAGATAACATTGGCCAAGGGCAACTATAGCCTCAAGCTCTCCGCACATGGCAGCTCTTTCCAAATGATACACTGCAGAAATCTGGTCCCATGGTGCATCCTTCTCACAGAAACGCCCGGCCTCGTGGTAGCGGACCATGGCTAGATGTACCTTAAAGGGATAGTTCACCCGAAAATGAAATTGAATTCTGTCTTCATCAACTTACCCTCACGTCGTTTAAAACCCATTCATCTTCCAAACTCAAATGAAGACATTTTTAATGAAACCTGAGGTTTCTGTCCCTCCACTGAAAGTCTGCGCAACCAAAACTTTGAAGAGCCAAGAGAAAACTAATCCAAAAATTAATCAAGCGCCTTAATCCAAGTCTTGTGAAGAGATACAATCACTTTATATGATGGACATTTAATTAGGCTTGCATTAACAATCATAAACAATGACGCCACACATACAGAGAGCACATGAAATATGGAAAGCATGGAAGCTCAAATGTTTATTCTAGCGCGTGACAAGCACATTTGACTTTTATGTTCAATTCAGTGTTAAATTAAATCTGTTTATCATATACAGTGATCGTATCTCTTCAGAAAACTTAGAATAAACTGCTCGATTCATATGCATTAGCTTTCCGGCACCTTTAAGATCTTTGTATCTAAAGGGGTGGTTTTCCAGACAGAGATTAAGCCTAATCCTAGACTAAAATGGCCCTTTAAACCATATTAACAGAAATCGGCTTTTTCTGTCATGGTTTTAAATCGTCTTAGACTTAGTCTAGTCCAGAGTTTTTATAGGCCAGTTTGCTGGAGGAAGACGAGAGCTACTTCAGGACTAAATTGAGGCTTAAATTAGTTAAACCAGGGGCCAGTTGCATAAACTATCAGTTAGTCAAGGGGTAATCAGTCTTACTTTCTGGACTCACATTAGACCAATCTACCTTTTTTGTAACTGACTTTAAAAAGTTATGACCAGTCTTGAAGAAAATTAATTAGATGACTAACATTTTAAGACTAATCTAAGCAGTTTATGTAACCCGCCCCATGAGGAAGTTTTCAATTCAAATTAACGTTGTGTTTCCAGTTTTATATATATCATAAAATTACAAAATTATTGGCACCCTTGGTAAATATGAATAAAGAAGCCTGTGATCAAATAAATCTGCACTGTTAATCAATCTCATTCTGAAATAAATGTTTTTCTCTAATACTCATTGGCCACAATCAATGGCACCCTTTTATTCTATACTTTTTGCAACCTCCTTTTGTCAAGATAATAGATATCAGATGCCTGATGAGGCTGAAGAACACATGACAAGAGATTAGACGCCACTCCTCCATACAGAATCTCTCCAGATCCTTCAGCTTTCCAAGTGCATGTTGATACACTCTCCTTTCAGTTTTCTATAGGGTTCAGGTCAGTGAACTTGGATGGCCATGGCAGAACCTGCATTTTGTGGCCCATGTTTGTGTTCATTTTGATGAAGTGTTTTTTTTAGATCATTGTCCTTATGGAATGAATATCCAAACAAGGCCCATTATAATATTTCTAGCAGGGAACATCAGGTTTTTATTTTTTGATCTGTTGGTATTTGCTAGAATCCATGATGCCATATATCTCATAAAGATGTCCAGGACCTCCAGCAGAAAAATAGGCCCAACATAAAAGATACAACAGTATATTTCATTGTACACATTGTACACCTTTTTATCCCTGTGTGCAACAAACCCACCTTGAGTGTTTGCTGCTAAAAAACTCATTTATTAGTTTCATCTGACCATAGAACCCAGTCCCGATTGAAGATCCAGTAGTGTGTGGCAAATTAATCTGCTTTTTTTTTTTTTGAAACCCTCCCAAACAACTCGTTGTAATGTAGGTGCTGTTTGATTTTATTTTTATTTATTTTTAGGTTTTCTGTCCCCAAGACTCAACTATTTTCTGCAATTCTCCAGTTGTGATCCTTGGAGAGTCTTTGGCCACTCAAACTATCCCCTTCACGCTGCATCAAGACAATATAGACACATTAGACAATATACTGTAGGCAGATTCGTAACATTTCCTGTTGACTGGAACTCCTTAAGCATTGTCCTAATGGTAGAAAGGGAAATTTTCAATGCTTTAGCCATTTACTTACATTTTTTCGACTTCCTATTTTGTGCTACTTCTTGACTTCATATTTTGTGAAGGTCAGCAATCTGTTGCTGCACATCAGAACTATATTGTTTGGTTTTTCTCATTGTGATGGATGATTAAGGGAATTTGGCCTTTGTGTTCCCTCATATTTATATTCCTGTGAAACAGGAAGTCATGGCTAGATCACCCTAGTGTACTAAAAATTGTAATTGTATGAATGGGAATACAGACCTTCAGAGATTTTACTCAATGATTTTCACAGCCTTCTTTAATCATATTTACTAAGGGTGCCAATAATTCTGACCATGACTCTCTCTATATATATATATATATATATACACACACACAGTGGTGTGAAAAAGTTTTTGCCCCCTGGACTTTTATAAGGAAACAGCCAAGCGAACAAAACTACATAAATGTTATAATAGATAAATGAAATGTGCACTGTTTTTATTTTACTTTAATTTTTTTTCATGATTGCCAATTATTTATATTCACGATTTCTAATTTTTGTACAGGCTTTACATTTTTATTTCAATGTAGTAATTAGCAATTCATTTAATTTTATTTTTGAACAGATTTGTTACGTGACAGCATTATTTAAAGTTTCTTAAGGGTCAATCTTAAGGGTCAATATCATGTTATCTGCATCTCCTGCGCTCCATCAAGCCACTCCCATAATATCTGTCACCACTCAAATTAATGCACGACTCTACATTATCTGTATAGCATGTGTGTAAGACTCTAATACAATTATGAAGTGATTATTTTATGACGAATAAATCTCTCAAAGTAAAACCGGCTGCGTCTATAGTAACATTATTATATTATCTTTAAATAAATGTTTTAATGATTATTATTTTAAATTATTGTCCCTGGATTAGTAGGGTACTCTTGTAATAAAGTAGCGGTGGCTGGGACAGATTTTAAGTATCAATTCTGCTTAAAAAGATGCAATCTAATCCTGTTTACATGAAATAAGCCTGCTCCCGAGCAGGTTTAAGCTTACGGACCTGTTGCTATGACAGCAACTCCGGGATGAGCTTCGAAGAACCAAATGATCCAAGCTCATGCCAAATCGTCAACAATCAAATCCAGCTAACTGAGTTAGCGATGTACAAAGAACGGGCCCCAGGTGTAAGTAATCTGTACTTAATCTGTGTTTCAGAAAGCCATTTTTAAAGACATGATTAACTATTCTATATTAAGGCCTACTCTTGTTTTAATTTAAATCCTGTCCGGGAAACCGCCCCCACAAAGTTTTGGTTGCATGGACTTTGATTGGAGGGACAGTAACCTCTCAGATTTAAAATATCTTACTTTGTGTTTCGAAGATGTCTTATGGGTTTAAAATGACATAAGGGTGAGTAAACAATCACAAAATTGTAATTTTTGGTTTACCTAACCAAGGAATAAATGTAGTAGTAGTAGTAGTATAATTTTATTTAATGCCATGTCAGCATCTGAGGCTATTTTCAAGGCAAAAACTAAATTACAAAAATGCAAATATCACATAATACAATAAAAACCAAACAAACACAGCAAGTAATATTATACAAGATTTTTAAAATTAACATATGATAAAAATTCTAAAACCTTTTCAGGCAAAATCTTCCTAAATAAGACCTTAAGTAAACTAAATTCATAAAAGAGCTTTCTACTTGCATTAAAACCGGGACAGTCAAAAAGAATATGTTTAATAGAAAGGGGAGTCTTGCAGAACATGCATAGAGTTGGGTCTCTACCTTTAAGCAAAAATGCATGAGTCTCAAGGAATAATGTATGACAATATAAAGATATTTGTCAGTTAGTTTCAGGAACAGGTTTATAAACCCATGACACAATTTCCTTACCTTGCCTAGGATGGATTTACCAATTTTCCTTTCGAGAAGCATAGTGTTAAGTCTCTCTACCTCCACTGCCACACAGGAGGGTCTGTGTATGTGGGAGCGAGATGAATGGTAAAAACTCCATTTGTCTTCTGTCAGCTGAGAGATACAACAAAAAAAGTATGTTATTAAGCACCCAGAGTAATAACTGAGGCAAAAAAATTACAACATCATTGACTTGTCCCATGTCCAAAAGCCAACCATGTCTTGTCAATACTTTTTTTTTTTATCTATAGCTTACAACATTGGTCTGTTGTGATGTCAAATACAGTGCATAACTGATCTGTGAATTATTCCTTTACTGTCAATGAAAACAGACTGTCATTTGACAATTTGACTTTTTTTTTTTTTTTTTTTAAAT